CTCCCTGGCGCGCCGTCCCATGCGTCGCTAGTATCCGGAAGCCGCCCACGAAGCGCTCGCGGCCATCACGGACGTGTGCGTGCGCTACCTCATCGCTCAGTACGAGGCCGGCGCGCAGGCGCTCCAGGTCTTTGAGAGCGTTGGCGCCGAGTACTTGACGCAGGAGCACTATTACGAGTTTGCCTTTCCGTACCTGGCCGAGGTTGGCGTCCATCAACTTTAGCACGCTAACGCTTCGTGTGTCGTCTAGATTGCCGAGCGAGTGCGCGCGGCCGTGCCCGCGTCCGTGCCGCTCGTCGGCTTCTCGAAAGGCACGCAGTACGCGTACGAAAAGCTCTCGCACACCAAGTACGATTGCCTCAGCCTCGACTGGCAGAGCGACCCCGCGACCGTCCGGTATGCTCCACCCCTTCAATTTTCCGTGGCTAAGAAGAGACCTGCGTAGCGCCCAAGTCGGCGGCCGCGTGTCGCTCCAGGGCAACCTCGACTCGTCTGCGATTTACGCGGCGCCCGAGGTCATTCGTGACGAGGTGCCACTTGATAGGTCGATACTTGATGGTTTTAACACGCCACTAGGTTGGCAAGATGCTGACCAAGTTTGGCACGCAAGGCTACGTGGCCAACCTCGGCCACGGCTGCGCGCCCGACTTTAGCCCCGAGCACGTCGACACGTTCATCAAGTCGGTGCAGCAGCTCTCGCTCGACATGAACTCGGCCTAAGCCTTGGCCATGGCGTCGGCCACGACCTATAAAAGCACTCTCAATTACACTCTTGTCGATCGCGAATCAGTACCGAAAACATACTGCTGATGCTTTCCATGCGCTGGCTCTGGTCGCGCTCCATGAGGAAGAGCTTCCCGCGCACCTGCTCGAGCTGCGTCGTCGCACCATGCACGCGCTGCTCCGTCGCCTCGGTGCGCCGCGTCATTAGACCCACTTCGCTCTACGTGCATGATACGATAAGACACCAAGGGGGTATGGGGTACCTGGAGGTGCTGGAGACCCTCGTCGAGGGTGTGTGCGAGGCGCGTGTGGTGACCAGAGAGGGTTGCGACCGCCTGCTCCATCATGGCCAGGTCGTCGAGTCGCTGCTGCGCGTGGATTTTGGTCTCGCGGGCGTGCGTTGCGGCGGACGCTTCAAAGCCCGCGAGCTGCGCCTGGAGACTCTCGACCTGCTTTTGCCACAGAATCCGCAGGTCCGAGGCTTCGTCGGCCATGTCTACGGATCCTCAATCTCAATCTCAATCGTAATAATGGATAAGTGAGAACGCTTGGCTCGTGTCGCGTGGTCGTGTCGGAGCTCGTGCACGCGGTCCTTTGTCTCCATGACGTCGCGCTGAAGCGCTTGCATCCACTCAATGTTGTGGCTGTGGCTCGCCTTTAGTATCTCGTTGTCCTTGGCCCAGTCCCTAGTCCATTGTGCAATATACGCCTCTTTGAAATGGCGCACCGCTCTTTCAAGCTCCAGACGTCCCACGCGCGCTTGGCCTGCTCGAGCTCGCGCTGGGCCGCGAGCGTGAGCTCCTTTTGCTTGTCGACTTGGTTCTCGAGCTGCTCGAGGCGCTTGGTCGTGTTCTTGCGCACGCCGTCAACCTACTAGAATCGATCGCTGCGTCGGGATGCAAATGGAAGGGCTGCCTCGGCGAGAAGCACGTCCGAGAGCGTCTCAAAGGCCTGCTTAAGCGCGTGCAGCTGGGAGCTCAAGTACGCAAAGGTCGCTTGCGACTCCATCTCGAGCTGCAGCTGCTCGGCCGCGTCCTTTTGCAGCCCCTTGATCTACTCGAATCGGAAAGGAAGAATCGATGGAGGGGATCGCACCGCCTGGCGGATCTGGTTGAGGTCCGAGAGCGGCTTCTTGGCCTTGGCCGCGTGCGCCGCCGTCTCTCGCAACACCGACGTCATGCAATCGTCGGGCGTTTCGCGATCCAGGGGCCGTCCTTTAACCTCTGGAAACGACCGTCTTTGACGACGGAGATGCATCTCCCGCCACTCCATACCCTCAACAGCCTCCGAAGCGACAACATGGTCCGCCTTCAGAGGCGACCGACGTCGATCAAGCGCTGGCTTGGCCTCACGTATCTCGGCGCTTCCATGGGCGCGAGCCTCTATTTCCTCGATATCATTGGTCCGGGCCTTGCAAATGATCTCTTCTGGCCCAACTTTGACCCGACGTCGGCCCAGACGTACCTTATCGACGTCTTCAACCGCCACCTCAGCGTCACCAACGCCTCGGAGATCGACCTCTACGACCCAAGCCAAGCCATTCTCAAGACGTACGGCCTTCCATCAACAACAGCATTTTCAAAACCCACATACCCCCGACTGCGCTCGCTGGTCGAGTACACGTCGGTGGCCGATGCGATCCGTGGGTTTCGGCTCCTGGATCCTGGCTACGTCTTCAACCTCATGACACTCTTTTGCTGGGCCGACTTTGGAAAGCGCTGGGACGTCGCCCACTCGGCAGCGCGTCAAGCGCGATGCGCCTCCACGATGGCCGAGAATGGCGCCGTGTACCTTGAGGCGTATCTCCGCAACGTCAACTGGGACGCCTGGTACGCGATCTACGGCGCTAGCTTTGAGTTTGGGGTTTCCGACGCGATTGTGACGACGCCCGAAGGCCGCGAGTGGTACCACAGTCTTCCGAACGCGTACCAGACTCTCGCTCTAGAAGAAGCGTACTGGAATTCGCACCAGATTTCGCGCTTCCAGCTGCAGTGGAGCAACGACTACCAGTTTGGCGTGCACGAGTCCGTCTCGGTGGTCAACATGCTCGGGTGGCGTCAAGACTTGACGATCCAATCCGTGTCGTTTGGCGAGCGGAGCTCCAAGTGGACCACGTTCGTGCTCAACTGGGCGTTCTACGACGATCTCTGGGCCACCGCCGTCGTCAACGGAAGCCTCGTGCGCAGCGCCGTCAACTATATGGGCGATGCCACCATCGAGACGCTCGTCGGGCTGTACCCGTTCACGCCCGCCAGCATCCTTGTCCACAACCAGGTTGGGCCCTTGCAGGCCATTGACATGGTGCTGTTGGCACCCCCGATAGAGCTCGTGGCCGCCTATGCTTCATACGATGCGGCCGTGACGCTGGCACTCCAAGCTGACGAATTGCTTTTGAGCCTCTTCGCGGCGTTGCCAACGGTGCTGCTGGACCCGGTCCCGCTGTCGTGGCAGACAACAATTTGGAACTACACCACCTTCTTTGGCGGCAGTCCTTTCTGCTTCTTTGGTTCTGGCGCGCCCTTTGTGCAGCCGTCGTTTTCGTTTGACGATACATGCGGCAGTCAAGTACCGAGTCGACTGCTCGTGCGGCCATTGCCTGCTTGTTTGCAGCGACGAGCATGAAGCTGCTGGAGAAATCGCGAACGCCGAGCTGCGCACCTTGCAGCGCTGCAACTATAACCTCCTGCGACTCGCTTGTGTTGGCACTTGAAGCCATCTCGGATTCGCTGCTACGCAACACGACACTCAAGAGCGTCTTGACGCCGATGGTCCAAGCCGCCGCAAATACCATCCAACGGCTCAACGTAGAGATTGTGCAGTTTGCACTGACACCGGGCGGGGCTGAAACTGTCTTGCGCCAGCCGTTGGCGGGCAATGACGCGTGGTCGCTCATGGGCTACGTGGCGCTTCACGAGTGGGTCAGCGGGTACCGAGAGGTTGTCTCGTTCCAAGGCGACGTCGCGACCTTCAATTTGATGTCGGAGCGCGTCGAGCCGACTCCGTTTCGCGCCAAAACCATCGAAGTGCCCAAAAGCACGTGCAACTATCTCTACTTTGTCGCGATTCTAACGTCGGTCTCCCTTGTGGGCGTGGCGTGTATCACAGCAGCGTATGCTCTCTTCGAGCCCACGCGAGATGCCGACGGCCTTCACTTGCTTCTGTACAATCAAGTCGCGGGACCTGTCTGGGTCGGTCGTCCTCTGCTGCTGCTCCGCGCGGCTGCCGCCATCACCATGCTGAGCACGGCGCCGCTGGATTTCCTCAATGCCGATGGCATTGCCCGCTTCCGCTTTGCACCGCGTCCGTTGATGCACGTTGGAATTCTCGCGAGCGAAGCCACGTGGGTGACGTACGTCCTCAACGACATTTTGCTGGTCCTTGCGCACGAGTACGCTCGATGGGCGGCGCCGCTCAGTAGCGCGTTGGTGTGGCTGAGCCTCGTACTACTCGAGATCTTCCACCCGCTTCGAGCGACGGCGGTAATTGATCGCGTCTGCACCCGTGTGGACATGGGAGCTATCGTGACGTGCACCAGTGGCTCTGTCGACCTCGGGTCAATGGCCCACGCCTGGTGCATTCTGGGTATCAATGGAATTGCTATCGTGCTCTCATACAGTGTTGTTTGGGCCTCTCGGTGTCGGCAGCCGCCCAGTGCTAGGGACGCACCGCAGCAGTCGCCCCTTGCCCGCCTGGTATCCGCGGGCGCCGAGGCCTTCTTCGCACCCAAGGAGACCAACATGTGGGAGCTGGACGCGTCAATTGCGGCCATGAGCGGCGTTCTGCGCTTCCGCTTCAAGTCTGCTCGGTGCATCTTTGACACAAAACTGTGGCTTTTCTTTTACAACGACGCGGGACCGATATCTCCTTTCAAGCCACTTGCCAGTGGGACACCAACGACGTCAGGGGTGGTTGCTGTCGCGAGCTCGGGCGTTGCGAAGCTCAAGGTGTGGAGTGGTCTGCTCTACCTCACTGCAAGTGTTGTCGGCAGCCTCTCGTACCTGGAACTCTCCACTGTGAATTTAGCGAATGATCTGTGGTGGTCTACGTACAATGTCACTGGCACTCAGAGCTTCCTCGCCAATTGGTTCAACCGTTGCCTCATGCTCAACGCAACGCAGGCAGCGACGCGCTTGGACGTCCAGCGTTTGCCGACTTGACCGACTACGCGACACCCAACACATTGATCTCGTACGCCCGCGTCTACGCGCGCCGTATCCAGTACGAGTCGGGTAGCGACCTTCCCATGATGATCCAAGGGCTTCGCACCATGGACGCGTGTCAAGTGCCGTGGATCGCAACCAGCTACTGCTGGCTCGACTTGGATCGGCAGATTGAGATGGCCAACTCACGCGCCCGCCAAAATCGGTGCAACGCCCAGTACCGCACCAACGGCGCCGTCTACTTGGAGTCGATTCTTCGAAATGTCGACTGGCCCACGTTCGAGTCGTGCTGGGGCTCGTCGTTTGAGATCGGAATCGCGAGAGACGTACCCTCGCTGAAGCCTAACGGAGCTGCCTGGCTCACCTCACTCAGTAATCCCGACCGCCTCTCGGTGGTCGGTGAAGCCAACTTTTGGCACTCAATGGGTCTCTTTACCTACACGACGCAGTGGCAAAACTACAAGGCGCTCGGCCTTCGCGACGTGTTCTCAATTGAGAATGCTATTGGTTTGAGATATGACATGACGCTGCAATCCAACAATGGCTCGTACCACATTCCCATGTCGACGTCGTGGAAGACGTACTGGACGTTTGCGAGTGACCTCTGGGCAATATCGACCAATGGTTCGGGGATCGCTGGCAAGTCGCTCCTGCGACAAAGTCCCCACTTTGCCTTTGCCAATGCCTCGCTCGAGTCGATTCTGACCCGAAACATCACCTTGCAAGCGCCGCTGGACGACGTTCTCGGCGCGTTTCACCATCGTCTGGGGCCGTTTGGCGCCGTCGACCTCTACCACGTGGCGTTTCCAGCGTCACTCGCCCAGCTGCAGCGCGACATCATGCGCGAACTCTCGACGCTCCTATCCAGCAACGTATCCAATGTCATGCAAGACGACTACGCCAGCCTCGTGCTCATGTACTCGATGAGTCCCGTACCGCGTGTTTTGGATCGAAGCACGTACCTCTGCGCCGGTGGCAGTCTCTTTTGCGGCGAAATTCCCTCCAACTTTAACCTTTCCCTTGGCTTGTCGCTGTTTACGGGCGTCGATACCATGTGCTACACGAGCTTCAACGAATGGGTCTTTGTGAATCCAATGCAAGCCGTCTTTGGCGTCATTGCCTCGGGTATCGCGCTCGACCCAACAAACTTGATTCCTCTCGCCTGTGCCGCCGAGGTCATTGCGCCAGCCCAGTGTCTCGCCTTTCTGGTCAGTGTCTCTGATTTTGTCTCGACCTACTTTCCCACGAGCTCCCTGCAAGCCTATCGATCGCGAGCGACATTTGTCGAAGCGGATGTGATCGCGACCTCGGTCGGTATCATGCAGTACGTTCGGCACGTGCCCACCAACCGCATCGAGCTCTTCCACCAAGTGCTTTTCGACCCGACGGATGCAACGATGATGTACACAAGCTACGCACTCGCGTACGATTGGGTCGTGGGCACTCGGGAAGCTATCGTAGCGCATGGGGATGTCCATTCGGTGGCTGTGCTTTCTACACTGTCTCCAATGTCTCGCTTTGCCGCCAGCAGTGTCGAGATGCCCCTCAACGTCGCCACGTACCTCCGAGGTCTCTGCCAGTACGTCTCGTTCGTTTTGGCCGCGATCGCCTTGGTCGCGGGTCTCTACACGCTAGCAAATGGCTGCACGAGCGAGGGCTACAACCTTTTTGAAGTCAACCGCGTCGGTGGCTTGACGTGGATTGGACGTCCACTGCTCTTGGTTCGGAGTGTCACGGCGCTCTGTATTCTCAGCACAGCCACGCTCCAGCTCCACAAGAATGGGATCACGACGCAACTGATTGCGTCGCGAGAGGATGTGTCGTCGGTGGTTAACAACGTCATCAAGATCCTCGCAGCGAGCGAGCTCGGCTGGCTCGTCTACATCTTTGACGACGTATGCATGGCGTGGACGCGCCAGTACAGTGCGAGCTACACGGCTAAGACAGCGACGACTGCGTGGTTCATCGCGGTTCTCTTGAGCTTCACGAGCCCTGTCTCGCACAGTGCATCGATCCAGCGGTCGTGCGAGATTGTGGTAATGGACTTTGAGATGGTGTGTCACAGCGGCGTCGTCGCCATCGGCTCGGTCGACCGATTGCGACTCCTCGTGGGAATCGCGGTCGGCGGGTCCATCTTGATGTACGTGCTGGATCGAGCGTGGCATGTGCTGCCACCGCTGAACGAGCGCGATTCGTGCTTGGTGTCGTGCAGCGCCAAGTACCTCTTTGAAAGAAGAGGCTGGGTCTACGACCGCGTCTACTACCTGGACTTTGCGTCCGCCGCCTTGACCGGCCTTCTTGTCTGCACGTTCCAAGGTGACTACTACGTCTTCGACATCAAGACGTGGAGGATGCTGGTCATCCGGCGCAGCGACATCCAAGCGGCGACAACGATGCATCCGTCGGCGCATCACCTGGCCCGCGCTCTCCCCTCCTCAGTTAAAGCTAGATATACTAAATGGTGGCAACCCGGCTATGTGCCTCTTGTTGGTCGTCCAAAATGCTGTGTCCCTTGATATCTTTCGTGGTTGATAGAATATCGCCCAAGAAAGCTTGGTCTTCTTGAGGGCCTTAACGCGGCCGTTGAGATCCGCTTGTAACTCTCGCGGAAGGCAGCGCGCTCTGCCGCTTTGAGCAGCCGCTCGACGCACCGGAACTTTCCGATGTTGGCGCGCGTCCCCACCACTTCATGTGCTTGCGGATACGCAGCCCAGCTCGTTTGGAACTCGATCGGAAACGGATGTTTTAATTGGCTCAATTCTAGATTCTTTCTAGCCAATCACAAGACTTGGTTCACGACCTCGTCTTACTCGACTTAAATAGTGTGAGCACCGTTCAGCACAACGACGAGTAGTAGCCCACAGACGCGCCATCGCCACGTAGCAGCCATGTATACCTCTCCACACACTTCTTGAATGACGTAAATGTCGTTTCCGACGCTGTACGTAGCGCAATCACGCGCAAATCCATTTTCCATTTTTCGAGGTGGTGGCAGAATTGCTCAAATACTTCACGTGACAATGCAGGGTTTGAAAGCTCCAAGGACCGTAAGACTGGCTGCCACAGTTGGCGATGGGTCTCGACCCGGCGTGCGACCAGTTTGTTTAGCACCGTCGTTGCTTGGGCACTCACACCAAACTCGAACTGCCGAGCGTCGGTTTTCACGAAATTCGACATGTAATTTCGGTTGGCAATACATCGAAATCGCGGAAACCGAGGACGCCATCTCTTTATGTTCATGTTAGAGAGCGCGTTGCATGTGGCCGAGGGAGGCAACGTGCGCGCGGTACCGCTTCGTGATGAGGCCTCGTATCAGCATACAGTATTTCGGTATAGCGAAAAAACACACTATATCAAAATATTGTTGGCCACTGTCATTTACTCTCGCTATAGAGCTCGCGCGGCGACGTCTCATAGCATTTTGGACTCCCTAAAGTGTGGTCTAGCACTCTGGCAAGTATGGGCGATTTCGTTTCCCAATTTCATTTTTGTCGATCCGCCGGTGCGGCAAAGGACTTGGCCGCACGGCGGGGCGGTCGCCAGCGAGCGTTCTGTTGACTGTGGGCGGTGAAAATCGTGTGGCCGAGGTCGTTCTTTCGCCACCGATCTCTGTAATGCAGGATATTGACTTACCAGGGATACCCTTGTCAATGATGAGGACCGCTGCGGTCTCATGCAGCATGTGAGTGCTACGGTTACGTCATTGAGGCCCGATGCCACACCAAGCACGCCCAGTGGTACCAATAACGTTATGAGCAGCATCGTAGCCATAGAGCGCTGGCGCGATTGCCTTGGCGTAATTTTACAGAAGGTGTCCAGAAGAAGCTCGCGGAGCCTACTTGTGTGGTGCACGTCCAGCGAGCTGCTCGTAGCCATTTGCACCGTAGCGGTGGCAAATACAATTGCTTTGACGTTGGGCATCGTGGCGCTGTGCGTTGTATAGTCGATACAAACGCCGACAGCGACAACCTCGAGGCTGTGCGAGGCGTGCGGACGATGACATCGAATTCGTTGCGTCGTTTCGAAGTATCCGGATACCTTCTGGATACCAAACCCAGTGCAAATTCCAAAATGGTCAACACGACAAGCAACGCCGCAGTAGGCGCTGCGTGCGTCATCTTGTAGCGTCGAGCGTTACAGATGCAACCTCGTGCACCTCACGCATCACGTCCTGCTCCTTGCACACGACAGCCAGCACCGAGACCACGAGCTCGGCCGTGCGCTCATGTTTAGCCCCAGCATCTACGTCGAGCTCGACGCCGAGCGCGCGCTCTTGTACATGCTCGAGGTCGCGATGTGCCGCGACAAGCTCGCCGACCATTGCGCCAGCGAGCAAGGCAAGCTACTTTCTGGACACGGTCGCCGTGTGCTCCCCAAGCGTAGGGTCTACGAAGCGCTGGCTAATACAATGCATTTGGTTTATAGATTCTTATTTGAGCTCATATCATTTCCATAGTGCGATCCTTAGATCCTTACACCTTTCATCCGATCTCAGTAGCTTCTTCAGCGGAATTGACACACTCGATACACCAGAGGCGCTCTCACACAACAAAATGCGAGCATGGTCCATTGCAACATCGCCGGGCTAGCGCCGCGTATTGAACCACATATGACGACGCTTGTAGACTTAGAGTCGTAGACGATGACCGGAGTCGAGAAGCGAATCCCAGCGCCCTCGCGTTGACGCCTCTTCGTCGACGACAGCGATTTACAGTACTAGTATATGGCAAAACATGCATTTTAGTGTCTCACCTCATACACACGGCTCCTCGCCCAGCTCTCACGCAGGCAGCGTTCCCGTCGACGGGTAGCACAGCCAATACAGTCTTCTCCCGGATCAATACCAAGACTGCCTTTACTGACACCGCATCTACCTCTGAAGTGTGTGGCACAACTCATGGAGACGATCGCTGGCCCCGGCACCCTACCGAGGCTGGTCGCTCAACGGCAATGATACTGACACATACGACCGGTGCGACGATGACCTGTCCGCGTCGAGGAGGTGTGAGTACCAAATAACAAGCAACGCAGTGCGCTGGCACGGCCCATAATTTACCCGGTGTCTAATGTCGCCTCTCCGTTGCGTCTGGCATACACCGCGTGGCTCGTCGCCAAATCCACAGCCACAGCTTTTGTCAAACTTATTAAAATGTATGTGGATCGTGGCGCGCCATGGTCGCGATCGTGCAGAGCGACACATGGCGACCACCGGTGCGATATGCTCTGTTTGCGCGAGGACATCGATGGACCGACTCGGTCACGCGGCAAACCACGCCGCTTCTCCATGATGAGACCAAAAAGACATGAGACACTGTACTAGCACACTTCAAATTTGTATATGCGATGAAATGGAGCACTCGATGGTGATGGTATGAAGCCCCATGAAAACGTGTTTTGCGTGTATCTTAGTTGTTACAAAGACTTTGTATACGTATAGACCACTGCGTATAGACTAGCAATCTCCTTCTTTATTCGATCGCCGGGCCGTGGCTGTGCATGCGGCAGCGCGGGGCTTATCTTGCACTCTAGTAGTCGCATGAAGGTGCTTGCAGCCGCTGGTAAGGCCCACGACGACAAAATCTGTGTCAAAAGCCACATAAAGCCAGCAAAAAGCTATAAATCTGTCAATACACAATATACCGCATGTACAGATCGTAGTCCTGCCGCCTTTGGGCATTTTATGATCGATACAAATGCAAGTACCCAGCAGCTGATCCGCCATAAAGAGTAAACAATATGCAGCTCGATAGTGCCCATGAAATGGGCACTATCCGCGAGCGAAGCGAGCGCGTATTTTGCGAGTGTGAAAACGCAATAATTGGCGTGGAATGGGGATGATTGCTAGGGTTCTAAACTCGCTGTCGATAGTGTTGAAAGGGGTGATAAAAGGCGTATTTTGCGAGTGTGAAAACGCAATAATTGGCGTTGAATGGGGATGATTGCTAGGGTTCTAAACTCGCTGTCGATAGTGTTGAAAGGGGTGATAAAAGGCG